AAATTATCTGGAAAACTGCCCTGATATTTTAGAATCAGGGGACAAAATAGAAATTGAAAGAATCCACCAATCTCCTCCTGAAAAAGATCCCCAAAGGAAAACTCCTAAGAATATTGTAGCCAAATTCCAGAGTTCCCAGGTCAAGGAGAAAATATTACAAGCAGCCAGAAAGAAACAATTCAAGTACTGTGGAAACACAATCAGGATAACACAAGATTTAGCAGCTTCTACATTAAGGGACCAGAGGGCATGGAATATAATATTACAGAGGGCAAAGGAGATAGGATTACAACCAAGAATCACCTACCCAGCAAAACTGAGTATAATTCTTCAGGGGAAAAAATGGTCATTCATTGAAATAGAGGACTTTCAAGCATTCTTGATGAAAAGACCAGAGCTGAATAGAAAATCTGACTTTCCAATACAAGACTCAAGCAGAACATGAAGAGGTAAACAGGAAAGAGAAATCATAAGAGACTTATTAAGGTTGAACTGTTTACATTCCTGCATGGAAAAATGATATTTGTAACTCATGAGACCTTTGTCAATATTAGGCTAGTTGGAGGGAAAAAATTATATGTATGTAGATAGATAGATAGATAGATAGATAGATAGATAGATAGATAGATAGATAGATAGATAGATAGAGGGCACAGGGTGAGTTGAAGATGAAGGGGTCATACCTGGAGAATAAAATTAAGGGGTGAGAGAGGATTATACTAGGAGAAGGAGAAAGGGAAAGGTAGAATGGGGTAAAGTATCTCACAAAAAAAACAGAAAAGAAAAAGTTCTTACAGTGGAGGGGAAACAGGGGAAGGTGAGAGGGAATGAGTGACTCTTATGCTCATAGGAGTTGACTTAAGGATGGAATAACATACACACTCAATTGGGTATGGAAATCTGTCTTACCCTATTGGAAAATGGGGGGGAGGAAGGGAACAAGAGAGTAGGGGGATGATAGAGAGGAGGGCAGATTGGGAAAGGGGGTAATCAGAAGCAAATACTTCTGAGGAGAGACAGGGTCAAAAGAAAGAATAGAATAAGTGGGGGGTCAGGATAGGATTAAGGGAAATAGAGTTAGTTTTTCATAGCTTGTCTACTATGGAAGTGTTTAGCATAACTGCACATGTATAGCCTATATTGATTTGTTTGCCTTTTCAATGAGGGTGGGTGGGGAGGGAGGAAGGGAGAAAATTTGGAACCCAAAGTTTTAAAAACACATGTTTAAAAAAAAATGTTTTCACATGCAACTGGGAAATAAGAAATACAGGAAAAGGGGTACAGAAATCCATCCTGCCCTACAGGAAAATTGAAGGGGAAGGGGATAAGAGAAGGGGGGGAGAGATAAAAGGGAAGGCAGACTAGGGGAAGGGGTATTCAGAATACATGCCATCTTGTGGTGGGGGGAGGGGTGAGATGGGGTGAAAATTTGGAGCTCAAAATCTTGTGGAAGTAAATGTTGAAAACTAAAAATAAAAAACAAATGTTATGTAAAAAATAAAAAATAAATAAAAAATAGAAATTCTTGTTGGACTTGTGTCCAAGCTCCATTTTTTTTCTTTGATCCTTTGTTTGCAGATGTTTTTAAGTCATTCTCTTCTTCTTTGTGCTTGGGGTTCCCTGTCACTATAGTAGCTCTTTATGGTGGAATTCTTTTTTGTTTGTTAATTCTTCAGTCCAGTTCTCAACTTTGATCACTTCTAGTGAAGGATGGCTGGTTGAACTTCTGTCATTTTGTGTCCTTCTGTTGATTTTGCAGTTCAGTCTAGGAGTCCAAAAGTTTTCAGTGTTCCTAAAGTGATGTGATCCAAGAGAGGTCTGTTCACTGCCCTCCTTTCCAATCTCTGTAAGTTCATGATCCAGGTTTGAGTCCATTACCTTTCCCTTCTTTGGGAGTTTCCACAGACTGCTGCTGGCTAGTAGACCACTGGGAGGCTATGCAGCATCAGAATGATTGAATTTTCAGCTCCCCTTTGGTCTGGGGCTCTTCCCTGGTTATTCCACTACAGGTGGACACAATGGGCTAAAGGCTAGAATTACGTCACTGCTCTGCTCCTGGGATCCAAACCACACAGCTAGGTTTTCAAAACCTGTTCCTGGTTCAGTTCACAGCTAGAGTCTGTGCTTGCAACCACTCCTCTTGTCCCTGTATCTGTGACAAGATGGAGAGTGAACAACAGAGCTTCTAGATGGTGCCCATTACTGCAGCCAGCACTAATGTGGGGTCCCTGGGGTGTTCTTCTGCCCTAGTGCTCTGTCTCAATTCTCTTTCAGCCTCTGGGTGCTGGGATGCTTCATGCCTTGGATACATTCCTGGCCAGACCCTGTCTTTAGTATCGGTAGACCTCTGTGTCTCCCTTGGCCACTTTGGGCTGGAAAAATGGTTTACTGTGGCTTTTGCTCAGCTTTCCCAATCATTTTCTCCTAGTGCATTTTCTAGATCATTGTGGAGAAGGGATAATGAGGAGCTTGGCTCAATTGCTTTTTCTTGTTCCTACAAACTGCCTCAGTCTCTTTTTGGATTTATTTCAATGTGCATGTGCTGTTCCCCACCCCCATCCCCAAGGAATGGTTTCATTTTGTTTTGTGTTTTGCATCCCAATTGCCTCGAATCTTCCGGGTGTCTAATAACTTCTCTTTCATTGTTTGATTGAAATCTCTCTTGTCCTTCTAAAAGAAAAGAGCCAAATATGACCAGAGTGCACCAGAAATTCTTAAAATGGAGCATCCCTGAAAACAGCACTAGAAGTTGCATCTCCAATCCAATGAGTCAATTAGTTAGCAGCTTATGTGTTTCTGGATAAGTCCTGTCAATTCCCAGTTGTAACTCTTATATTAGAGGTGCCTTCTTCATAGGAAGGGTTGGAACTTCTTTTCTAATCTCTCACTCTTCTGTGTGGGTCCTTCCACTCACAGAGAACGTACATCAGTATCTGCTCCTTCCCCAAAAGTGAGCATCACTCAGGTTCACAAAGCTCAAACCATACAACAGTTTTCTTTGCAAGTCAAAGAACATGGAAAGGATTTATTTCCAACTCTAATGAGAGTCATGACCTCCCACATACACACACAATGGACTGCACTCTCCCAGAACTCTGTACATCCACCATGACTTACAATGCCTGCAACCCCTAGGTAGGGGTTCAACATGTGAGGAGGAGCTAAGGTGCTTTGCTCTACAGCCCTCACAGCTCTCATTTCAGAGTCACTGGTTCAAGCTCCATGCTGCCCTCATTTTTTCTGCAGCTCCCCTCGATTCCCAGAAGTTGGTAGAAGCTTCTCCAAGTCCTTCGCCTGCCCAAGTTCCTGGCACCATCAAAGTGCCCTCAGCTTCATGAAGCTCTCCTTTATTGCTGCCGCTTGCCAGCAGATGGCACTCATCACCTTCTCTTTATGGAACCAGCTCTCTAGCAAGTGGTCCATGCTGAGAGATGATGTTGGAGCCCTGATTTGAGGAATATGGCTACAATGAAAGAACAAACCTTGGGCCCGAATAGCTTCGTTTCTCTGCGATGTCCTCTTGTGTATCTGGATTTTACAACCCCTGCCTTCCCACACGCATCTGGTAGCATGTTGTGGGAGTTTTCTTGAACTATTCAAACAAGACTGCCTTCAACCTGACACAGGGGCTGTGGTGAATGAGTCTAATTTGACTTCTCCCCCCCCCCCCCCCAGCATGGGGGCAGTATTCTTCCTGCTCGTGCTAGGACCTACCACAGAGACCTGGGATTCACCGGAGCACTTCTGCCCTCTCTCCTTTTGTATTTTTATTAGCCATCATTTTCTGGGGCAGGCAGGCTGTATTATTCTATTTACCTCAGAGCTGCCTTAAAAAGGAACTCTACTAGGGAGGAGAGAAGGCCCAAGACTGTTGCTAGCAGCATGGATCCTTCTGCTGAAGGAGAAGAACCCGGCCAAGGGAGCAAGACGTTTGGTGGTCCCCAATGCACAGCTCAGCCTGCTATTGGGTAAGGCAGGGTCTCTCAGTTGGCAAATCTTCATGAACGACCACAAAGCTATACCAGTTGGCTTTGATAATGTCTCCCATTCAATTCATCAATAAACATTTGTTAGGAGCCTACTATGTGCCAGGTACCAAGCTAAGCTCTGGTTGAGTTTTCCTAATCTTAGTGTTCAATGACGGACGAAAGGGCTCAACAAAAAAACCTCGTTTCAGTCACATGACAGACCATGTGCAGGCCAACAGCCCAAGGCCCTGAGTCTAGACAAGGAACATCAGTCCACGGGGGATGGCGGAGGGTGGATAGCTCTGGGATTTCCACCGGCTCTCCTAGAGAAAGTCCTTCCTGACTCCTCTACTTGGTAGCTCTCTCTTGTTTCCCTACTTAGATTGTATTTGCACATCTGCATAAATGTTCATAGGCCTAGAGCTGGAAGAACATGACCTCAGAGGCCATCTACTTCAAGATCTTTATTTCACAAATAGGGAAACAGGGGCCCGAGAAAGTTAAATAATTTGTCAAAGATCATACAGGTCAGTGTTAGCATCAATCTCTCTGTTGTAGAAGGGAAGCACTCTGAGGGCAGACACTGTTTCCAATTTGTCTTTGTACCCCCAGCACCTAGCACAGTGCCTTGTTACAAGCAGTCATTGAAATTAATGTTTATTTAATTAAATTGTTTTTAGCCCCGAGATGCTCACATTTTTTGACCAGAAAAATTCTTTAAGACCATTTACTAAATCACAGAGGAGTTGTGACCTAAATAAATCATCCCACTAACAACACTGTAGACCCATAAAATACTGGTATAAGAAATTCCTGCAACCATATGCCAAGCCTGCCCATATTTCTAAGTATCTTACCCATGTGTGTGCCCAGGACCTGAACTTTGAGTACTGTTCATGTCATTGGGAAAGCATCCATAAAAATGAGAGCAGTGGGCAGTGCGCCACTTTGGGAAGACACAGACAGAAATTCGAAGTCATTGATCACCCAGAGGATGGAGTCGGCAAGGGAGCTGAACACGGAGTCACTTACATGAGAATCCAATGCCAAGAGTTTACAAAATCTTCAAAAACCTTCAAGCCGATTGTTCTCATAGTAAGGATTCGACTGATGCCACTGAATTAAAAGAAGAGAGAAGATTTTTGAAAATCAGCTTTCTGGCTTGTCTTGAAAAGAAATACTGCTAACACAATGAACACATTTGACAGGCTGCTTTTTTAGTGCTTGCTTTGAAAGACTTTCTCTTGGCGATGTTTGTTGCTAGCACAGAAATACATGCCGTGTCACCTTCTGGGTAACCCTGCCGACATTGGAAGCGTCCTGAAATACAGCGTCCCTCCCAAGAACGTCAGGAAAATGCAATTGTAATAGTGCACACCGTGTTCTGGGAGACAGAAAGGGCCCTGCAGGAAAGGAATTCAGGTGAGATCTGCTTGTAACTCACTGAATCCAGGCAGTCAAAGTCAGCACTAGCCTTAAGTCATCCCCAGTACCATCCGTTTGGGGGTGACTCCTACGGTAATGCTTGGACAGCAATACACCTGCAGTGACACAGTCAGCTGGATATGTGTAACCCCAGTCCTCAAGCCCATTGGCATGGGACGCTTTACTTACAGGGGGAGACCAGCATCCCACCCCTAAGGAGAGTATCCTACACCAATGGACTTTGGAGTTAGGATCACTTTTGGGCCCCACAACCACCCTGATTTCCCCATTTAAGTCAAACCTAAAGTATATGCCTGATTTCCTTCTCTAATGGCATTTTTATTAACATTTTTAAGTACAGAGAACCAGGAAATTTTGAATACAGTGTGTCTGGTGTTCACATTAGAACTTCCAGATATCTGTGTGTTTATTTTTTTTCTAACCTGTTTTCACAAAACTATAATAAATAGACTTTGCTCTCTTCCTAGGATCAAGGTTTAGACCTGGGCCAGGGAGGGGGTGGCATCCTTAAAGGCTCTTGAACCCAAACTTCTCATTTTACAGATCAGTAGATTAAGGCCCCAAAGAGACCAAAGGAGGCATTCAGGGTCACTTGGACAGCAAATGGCTGGGCCAACATTGGAAACTAGGGCCTTTGGCTCCAAATCCCAGCACTGCCCACTTTGCTACAATGCCTCTCTTCTAATTTAATTCCTGCCAACTTTCAAGGAGACAAACAGAAATGTCTCTAAAAGTATTGGAAAAATCTTTCAATTCTGCATTTAAATTCAGCAACCCTGGGCCATGAAACTAGACACCCTGGCCATGTGTATGCACATAAAATAGCATACCCAATAACAACAGCTAACACAGTGCCATGCACAGCCCAGAGCACTAGAAAAGCATACATCCGTATAGAGATATCACTTCAATGGTCATTCCAGTGCACTTGCTTTCTCTCTCTCTCTCTCTCTCTCTCTCTCTCTTTCTATCTCTGTCTGTGTCTGTCTGTCTGTCTCTGTCTCTCTGTCTATCTCTCTCTCTCTGTCTATCTCTGTCTGTCTGTCTCGGTCTGTCTCTCTGTCTATCTCTGTCTCTCTCTCTCTGTCTATCTGTGTGTGTGTGTGTGTGTGTCTGTCTGTCTGTCTCTCTCTCTCTACACACATTTTGGATTAGTTGCTATAGTCACTAAAAATAATCTGGGAATGAAGATTGTAAGTCTATTCATGAGATTATTTTTGGAGAGAAGTAGCCTACTAGACTGAATAGAGGACCAGCCTTGGAGTCAGGGTCACCCAGGTTCGCCTCTGACAACAACTATATACTCATTGCCCCCAGACAAGTCTCCGAGACTAGAAAGCACAGATAAGTTGTCTACCTCCATCAGTGGAAGATGTTTCCACATCAGCATTCTCAACACCATTGAGACCATAGAATTTGATCACAAACAAAACCCTAAAAGGATGAATGATGACAGAAGCAATAGAAATCTTTCCATAGGTTCTGCCATGTTATCATTGATATTTCTTCTATATGAGTCATTTCTCAATTTCACAAACATTTGGGTAATTTTCATTATTCCTGGATCAACTTTCCTTCTCCCTTTACGTATAGATTTGGTGAGCCTGTACCCATTACTCAATTCTGGTTGACACTGAGGTTACAGGGGAAGAATAACAAATTCTTTAACCTCTCCCCACCTTTATCTTCCAAGAAGCCCCAGTCCCAATCTGGGGATCTGATCTAAGGGTCCCATCCAAAGAGAAACTGAGATGATAAACAAACATACTTAACACCTTTCTGGAGATCGGCGATATTTCTTGTAGATCCAGTTCCATCAATGAACGTTGTCCTGTTTTTTAGGGCCAAAATGCCATTGATAGTACTTAAGTCTGGGAAACATCTCTTGAGAACTGTTCAAAATAAATGAAAATTATAGTAGTCACTACTCTGCCCCCCCAAAGATCCCTTAAGATGCACCTCCCATATTGAAACCTTCTGAGGTTTGTCATTCACTTCTTGCCAGATGGTGTAGAAATTACCCCATGTAGACAGTTAGCTGCCTATTATTTGATAAAAGGAAGATTGCCTGATGGTCCTAAAGCTGACAGAGAAAGCAGGCCTGCAATCTGCTGGGTATTTTGCAATTAGACTCTTCAGTGGCTCATCTTGAACACAAGGCACGACACAGGAAGAAAAATGGAAATAATATTCATTGCCCATCATAAAAATACTTTAATAATCATATGAGGATGGATCTTATGAAGGGGAAATACATTTTTTCTCTTAGGGAAAAAATTAGATGCTCATTCAATCAACCCTTGAAAATTAAAGCTTCACAATGAAATTGGAGCCAAGTACACATTTGGGTAACTAAAGCAACTGGGGTGGTCTTTTTGATGTCTTAATCAAGTGTCTGCCCCCCAACTCTCTTTCCTTTTTATGGATTTAGACTGGAAATGCTGAAGCCACAAAAACAGATGTAAGTGACACTGAGAAGAGTTTTATCAGAATCTGATCTTGCCAGTGCTGGGACTAGTTGAACCGTCCCCTTGGCCAGGTACTGGAAGAAAAACATACCCTCAGACATCTCTTCTAACTCAGAGGCTGTGATTCTGTGACCTTTAGATTCCTAATAAATGGACAAAACCATTGCTTCCCCCTCCATTTCTATAAGAAGGTGAGAAATATCAGATCCAAAGCATTAATCTTCATTGGTCTTTGCTGAAAAGTGCCACAAATGAACTCATCCTTACAAATTAGAAGGTTATCAATTGGGCTTTACAAAAATTGATCAACAGTAATAAAGAAAAATTCATAGGTCTTTGTTATGTCCTTCCTGACCAATCCATCCCTCAGAAATGGTACCACAGTGGATCTGTGAGCTGATTTGTGTGGATCCTTCCGCTAGAGATTCTGATTTCGGCTCCTCTATGCTTACTCCCATGCCTACGTGGGACTCATCTACAGGGGCCTCATTCAACATGGATGGCTTTTCCAATGATACACTTGATTTGGGTTTGGATTCCTGTTCTGGTACTGTGATCTGGTCAAGTGAATCAACCTCTCTGCACCTTGTTACCTTATCTATAAATTGAGTGCACTGAATTCAGTTTTTTAAAAAGTAGATTTTGAAGCCATCATTTGTTCTGATATGCATGTACCAAGTGACATCAAATAACTGGCATGAATTTTTCACTTTTTAAATATGCTTTGTTTGTATAGAGACTGTGGCTAAATCACAAAGTCTGAATTTCAGATAAAATACCAATCACTCACAAGATCTGCTGGGTAAAATAAATGATGGGCAATCTTCATTCCGAAAAACTTCTGATACGGGCTGAAAGTAGGAGAAGGAATACGCAGTATTCAGTGGACAGGGTACAAGTTACTTTTATTCTTAATGTAGAAACAAAATACTTTGCCAATAAAATTTTTAAATCTGTTCCTATTTAAAAAACAAACATCACAGTAGACTCACTATCTAAGTTACTTCCTTTAATAGTACATACAAGTTGTAGGGATGGATGAACAAGTTGTGGTCTATGACCATGATGGAATATTACTGGGCTATAAGAAGTGATGAGCTCAGTGATCACAGAAAAATATAGACAGACTTGCACGAAATAACGAAGAGTGAAATGAGCAGAACCAACAGAGGGCTGTATACAGTAACAGCAATACTGTTTTAAGAACAACTTTGAATGATTAAATCATTTTGACTATTATAAATACCCAAATTAACTACAACGGATGTATGAAGGAAGATACTATCTGCGTCCATAGGAAAAAAACAACTGATAAGTAGAAGTATATATAGTATGGTTTTACATACACACACATATTTGTGTCTGATGGTAGCCATCTCTAGGGTGGGGGAGAAGGGAAGGGGAAAAAAAGTCACATGACAACTTCATTATATATTTAAAAGGGAAAGCAAGTTGTATGTAGTAGATTTGCAGTTTCGTGTTCTGGAAATGCTTGTTTTATTTTTTTTTTTTTCATTCATCCATTTATTTACGCACTTTCAAGTATAACCCCCACTTCTCCAAGAAAAGAAGGAAATTCATTTCCACATTCCTTTCCAGGGACCAGACTGATAAAATACCTAGCTTCCTTTCCACACTCTTTTCATACAGATGACTGTAGTCAGTTTGGATACAGGATCTCCTTGGTTCTCTTCCATTCTTCAGTGTGTCTTTTTGTGTTTCTCTCATGTAAGTCACTGCTTCTTGCAGTACACTAACATTCTACCACATCCATAGGCCATAATTTGTTCAGTCATTCCCCAACCAATAAGCACTCACTTTGTTCCCAGTTTTTCACTATCACAAAACTGCTACGAATATTCTTCAAATTGCTTCTTGAAATGCGAGCTAAGGCAAATGTCAACACGGCTATTTACAGAGCCAGAAAAATCAAAAGCAGCCACTGCTCCAGATGGAGCAACCATCCACTGTACCCAAACCTGCCATAATCACAGGGAGCTGGCCATATCTTTGATCCAATTGCATTCTCAGTCATCTCTGCAATGTCTGGGGAATTGGTTGAGTTACGAAGATTTCGGGCAGCTAGGTGGCGCCATAGCGCACAGAGGGCCTGGGCTGGAGTCGGGAAGACTCATCTTCCCAAGTTCAAATCCGGCCTCAGACACTTACTAGCTGTGTAACCCCGGGCAGGTTGCTTCACCCTGTTGGCCTCAGTTTCCTCATCTATAAAGTGAACTGGAGAAGGAAATGGTAAACCACTCCAGTATCCTTGCCAAGAAAACCCCAAGTGGGGTCAGAAGCGGTTGGACATGACTGAAATGGCTGAACAGCAACGAACATGAAGACTTTGCCCTTGACAGAAGCAAAGACGCCATGCTCATGTTACCGGGAAGAGCTCACTCAGAAGTTAAATCCCCTTCCTTACCTTTAAAGGGTCATTAAAGCCAGGCTTGCAGTACTGACGATAGTATTCCCAGGAGCTTCTATCAACTCGATGTTTTTTTTGCACGTCTATGAAGGTTAAAAATCTGTCCGGGCACACGGAGACACAGAACTAGATAAAGGAAAGAAAAACACAGCTATCAGCGGAAGAGGGAACAACAAGTCCTCTCATTGGGACTGCAAATCCAGGAGCGTCTCAAGGAAAACAGCAGGCTGTCCCATTTACAGCCACATGAGAAAGCCGATTTTCCACCAGCAGTGCTTGAACCAGTCTTGCAGGATCAAAAGCTGAAAGCAATCTTGGAGGGCACAGAGCCCAGGGCTTTAGAGCCAGAACCACCTCGGGGATCATCGAATCCAACGCTCTGTTTTTACAGCTGGGGAAACTGAGGTCTGGTATTTTGTGCAAAGTCACACAACCAATAAGTGACAAACACACTTAGGATTCAAGCCCAGGTTCTCCAGCTCCCGGGGGGTTATATGCTGCCTACATAAGGCAGAAGGAGGATTCTAGAATTAGCAGATCCAGGTGCCGATGGCAGCCACGATGCTGCCCGTGGGAACTTGGCCAAGCTACTCCATCCTCATTTGGAAAATGACAAGAACGGAGGACAGCACCTCTGAGGTCCCTTCCAACACCACATCTATAACCAGATGAGAAGAAATGGAAGGGAGAAGGCTAGATTTGGGGTAAGAGGGCCTGGGTTCAAATCCTGCCTCGGACTCTTTTGACTTGGGCCAGTCGCTTCAGCTTCCTCATTGGCATTGGATGGGATTGGATTACAGGGTCTCTGAAGAGCCTGGGAAGACAAGTGGAAAAAGTGATGGCTTTGTAGTGAGGAGTCCTGGGTTCAAATCTCGATTTGGCCACTTCTGACCTTGACTAAAAACCTTCACGCCTCTGGGTCTCAGTTTCCTCACGTGAAGAAGCAACAGCAGCAATAACCACCACAACAAAAACCAATTACAGACACTTATGCAGCAAGCCTTGGAGCCATAGCACAGCCCTGGGAGGTGGGTGCCAGAGTCATCACTAGCTCCATTTTACAGATGAGGAGATGGAGGCTGAGAAATGGTTAGTGATTTGCCCAAGGTCGCGCAGCTCACGAGCGTCCCAAGCAAACCTGGCTTGGCTCAGATGGCCTCTAACGCACTTTCCCGTCCCATGCCCAAGATCTTAAGCCCAGTCTCTCTTGCCAACATTCTGGATGACGTAGCACATGGGGGATGTGATGCCAGGAGGGATTCCTGATCACAGCGGCCGCATCATGAAGCTCAGAATCAGAGAACACGACTGAGATTGAAGATCAATCTCTTGCCCCAGCCAGCTAGGCATATTCAGAGTCAAAGGTTTGCCTCATATCCCTGAAAGGAATAAAATGGCAAATTTAAAAATGCCTGGAACATTGATCATCTATGTCATCCACCATTACGAGACCAGCTCTTTCTCAACAACACGTGCAAACCATAATGAAGTTTTTTATCACCCCAAGAAACTAACACAATTAGGGCCATTTGCAGCAATCAACCTTTGTTAAGAATCCTTTCCCAATGTCGCTGGATGGGAGTGGAGATCCCACTTGCTTGAAGGCACAATCATCACCAAACCAGATTGCTGTGCTAATGCCCAGGTGAGGCAGGAGGCCAGGACCCAGGGTCACCTAGAGCCAATCCAAAACTCTGCAGAGAGATACCCAGGGCAAAACATGCTCAGGAGATCGGCATATAATGAGGGCCAGGGAAAGCGAATGCTGTTCTTTTGACTTTATATGCCAGAATAAGCAAAAATGGATTAACTTAAAACAGCATTTGCCAAACTAATTTGGCCAGGAAACATTTTGGGGCTTGAAACATATGATGAGATCCTATAAATGTGGGTCTCTAGGGGCTCCTGGGGCACAGAATACCTTTCTGATAAAGAAAAGAGAAGGAAATTCTGTAGCAAAGTCGAGGAACTCAGGCCTATTCTACTCCTGGGGTGGGGGAATTAACACACATGAGAAGCATTTTGATACATTAAAATGTCAACATTTCATATTTTTGCTACAGCTGCTGCATCACCATTTTGTCTTGGGACTCTTTACTTGCAGCATGAATATTCACCCCAAGGTTCTCTGGGACACTATCTGGGACGCCAGGCCTTCAAATAGAGGGGTAATATGTTGTCTGATTCCCCGGCCAGCAGAGGCACTGGTTTCCGGGCCCTCCCAGAACTAACCATGAAGCCATGAGAAAGTCACAAACCCAACCTTTCCTCTTCCATGCTCCATTAGAAGTCGGCATGGGCCAGGGACAACCACCCCGGACCTGGAGTCAAAGCCAACTCCCAGATTTACTCTCCATGTGGCCAGAGACAAGTCATTTCATCTTTCTGGGCCTGTATTCTCTTCTGTAAAAGGAGGGGGTTGAGTAGATGAAGAGAGTAGGAGGAGTACACACTGGAAACAGGAGGTAACAGTAAGTCCATTGTTAAAGGCCTGGAACGTCAGGCCAAGGATGTTGGACCTTACTTGGTGGACGACGTGGAGACACCAAAGATTGTTGAGTACCTTCTGTGGACACGCCCAGATCCATCTCCCTCGGCTTCAATTACTTAGCAACCTTTCCTCTTTGGAGGCCGACCCTAGGCATCCGTCACCCAGTCCAGAACCTCTGGCTGTCATTGGCTGGTCCCCAGGTCATCGTCCCTTCTTTCTTAAAGAGTTCGATAGCTGGCTCACGGTCTTTATTCTGGGGGACTTCAGAATACATATCATTGTTCCCTAATCTTTCAGTCCCTCACGTGGCACAACCTCATGACCCATTCCTCCACTCCCCGTTAGCTACGCAGACAGGCGGTCATACCACTGATGTTCCTATCACCCACATATGTTCCGCTTCCACAATCAAGAACCTGAAATTCCTTTGTCTGATGATAATTTATCATTCCATCTTTCTCTAAGACTTACTACTACAAATCCTGTTCTTTGTTGTCATCATGCCCCCCCTCTCCCACCTTTGGCTCTGCCCCAGTGCCAACTACTATTTACACACATAAAGCAGATGGTTCTAGCAGTATTGGGAATGAGGGGTTGGGATGAGAAGAGGCTGGAAGCAAGCTTTGTTAAGAGGCACAAACAATAGTTTGTGCAGGTGGGTGTATTGTTAAATTAGGTAGTAGCAAGGAGAACAGTAAAGGAGGCCTTATGAGAGTTATTTCAATAAGAAAATCCAAAAGATTTGGCAACTGATTGAATATGTCTCAGCTGCGCACGACATCTGGTAAAACTGTCTGTGCAAGGGGACAATGTGCCCCAAGTTTTGGGGGTTTGTTTTTGCTACACACACTTAGTAAATACCCTTTATAAAACCTAATTCACTTTGGCTGATAATCAATGGAGAACAAAGAGATGGAGTTTGTGAGGGATAGTACCATGGGTATTGTTTACCTTGGGTTTTTTTTTTTTGGCAAAGATTTTGATAAGATATCCCTAAAGGATCTCATGCTAATCTTGAGGAAGAAACGCAGAGATAAGGTTTGAACAATAATACAGAGTGAGCAGGACTGCTTGGATGGCTGGAATCAAAGAATAGCTGTTAAGGATTTCATGTTAATATAGACAAAGGTCTACAGTGGAGTACTCCAGGGATCTGTGCTTGGCCCTGTGCTGTTCAGCATTTTCATCAATCAACAGCAGCATTTATTAAGCACTTACTAGAGACCAGACACTGTGATAAGCCCTGGAAACATCCTTCGTTCTCAAAGAGGACCAACGATATTACAAGGTAACGTCTTGACTCGGGCAGGAATTGGATATGAGTAGGCCTGAGCTGTGCTGAGTGATCAGTGACACTGGCCCCTCCAGAGCCCTCAGAGTTCCACAAATCCATGCAGAAAGATAATTCCTGCCCTCTAGGAACTTATATTCTAATGGAGCCAGGCAAGATCTGAAAGACAAGAAAGCCAGGAAGCAGGTGGGGGGCATCAAGGTACCCGTCTCGGAGGATCGTAGAGGAAACCTGGCAGGAAAGACGGGAGTGCGTCTGCACAGGAATGAAGACGCGGCCGGCCGGGGCGTCCTCCTGGAGCGGCTGCTCTGGCAGAAAGCAGCAGCCCACAGGGAGGGGCTGCAAAGGCAGAGGCTACTCCCCCCCTCATGTGAAGCCAAGGCCAGAGCAGTGTCTGGGGCATCGTGCAGAAAGTCTGCAGCAGATTCGCGATGGCGTCCAGAGGATGACGACGTGGCTGAGCTGGGTAGAGTCGCAGATTGTCCCCCCATAAACTCTGCAAATGACACCAAACTCGGAGTGAACGCGACCACAGTGGATTCCAGAGACAGGACCCACGAGAATCTCTTCAGGCCGGAGCACTGGGCTGAATCTGACATGGAAATCAATAGCAAGAAATGCACAGTCCTCCATTCGAGTAAACACCCCCAAGTCACAAGGATATTATGGGGGATGCACGTTTAGACAGAAGGCAGCTGTTCTGAAAGACACCTGAGTGTTTCCGTGGAACGGTCCGTGCTTAGCACAGTGCCTGACACATAGTAGGTGCTTGATAAATGTTTATTGCCTATGCATTCTGCCACTACCCCCTAAGGACCAGGGGATCTTTCCCTCTGACTGGCCCTGAGACCTTCCCCAGGTGTTTCCCCAGCCAGAGCAGGAGCTTCCGGAACAGGGACTGGCCCACTTTTCTGGGTGCGCTGGTGTGGCTGGAGTTTAGCCCACAATGAAAGCTTAATCTCTGCGTCATTCACCCAGCCATTCATTCATTCATTCACGTTGCAGTGGGGTTCATGCGTGGGTGTACCAGGATGACCCCTGAGGCCCCTTCCAGCTCTCGCTCTGGATGGGCCGTTTGCTCAGGCAATCCAGCTACGGGGTGTTAGCGCCCTGCTTGCAGACCGAGTCTTCCTGATTCCAAGCCTAGCACTGTCCACTGTGCCGTGCCCATACACATACACATTAAATGATAGAATATCTGTATAGTGCCTGGAGCATAGTGATCTAATCAATGCTTGCTGCCTCCCCCCACCTCCGCCGCACACATACAGACGATTAACATGCCAAGTGCCTTATGTTCAACACAGGAATTGTATCACATCCAACGCCAGCTCTAATGAGCTGTTAAAAAAAAAAAAAACAACAATACAGCCCCCACCACTCTGCCTCCCTCCATCAGACCAATTTGTTCATTTCCAATAGGATGTTGATTAGCCAGCCATCGCTGTGCAATTAGCCAAAAATGAAGGTCAGTCGGAGGTCGGGTCTTTGAGTGGATTGCTGCCCGTCCTCCCGGGGTCTGGACCACGTGAGCACTGAAGCGAGCTCCGCGGAGGAAGCGTACCTGCTTTCCTCTGCGACTACGGCTGTGCATTAATGGCAGCAAGAAAGGGGAGGCCACTTGGAAAAGAATTCTGGCTAATTAGTGGCCTTCTCTCTGCAGGAAAAGATGCTCATTGCATTAGGTCCTTGGCTCCCTCCCCGTGCCCCCATCCAAATTCAAATGAGATAATGCATGTGAAGCACTCCATTCACCAGCCACCATCATCCTCTGCTTAATGGGCTCAGCCAGCAAAGCTGGAAAGGGGGGCCTTCGCGGCTCTCCAGTCCAACCCATTCATCTGACAGATGAGGAAACTGAGGCCTGGACAGGACGAGTGAGTTTCCCAGACTGTTCACATTTGTAAATGAAAGCTCAACACTTCCACCAGTGGCTTCCCCAAGATGCCTGCCTGGCTTAGGAAATTCAAGATGGAATCCCTTAGAAAAGCGAATCAGCATTATCTCAAGAATAGTGATTTGGTGTTCCTGTTGCTAGCTTAATTTGGCGGTCCTAGTCAGGTTGGCGCTGCAGTCTAAGCTCCAACTGGGGGCCCCCAGGCCCATCTCACACCTGTCTCAGTTCTGTTTCTTCTTTTGTCCAATGGGTGAAAACGATACTTTTTTAAATGTTTAATTTTCATCAATAGCCTTCCTTTTTACATCAACTTCATTTCCAAAGGCACCTCCTTTCCCTCCCTATTTCTTGCACCAACCTCTCACCTAAGTTTGACAGTCTGTACCATGTTCCATACCCACAGCCGTCTGGCTCATATCACACAGTCAGTATTAGAACCAGAACTTGAACTCAGGTCAGAGATTTAGAGCTGCCAAGGACCCAAGGGGCCTTCAAATCCAACTCCCCCATTTCACAGATGAGGGAACTGAGGCATAAAGGGTGCCGGGGTCACAGAGCCAGGAAGTGTGTCTAAGGTTGTGTCTTAATTCAGATCTTACTACCTTCAAGCCAGTTGACCGATTCTCTACACTACTGGTTCTTCAAGTGCAGTGTGTGACTTCCTGAGCATCCCTGAGGTCACATCAATTTTCATAATCATACTAAGACTACATTTACCATTAAAAGACTCCTCCTCTTTCCAAATGCACATCTGTGGGAGGCCAGATTTTCCTCAATCAAAACAACATATCCCAATAGTTTGAATGTAGAAGCAGATACAGGAATCTAGCTGTCTTCTGATAAGCCAGATATTAAAGAGACTGGCAAAAATATCGCAACAATGCCACTCTTCTCAGTTTTTTGTTTTGGAAAATTCAATAAATTTTCATTAAATATATTATTTATGTTAACGTGCAGTACATTTATTATTATTTAAGTGAATCAATAAATTATTTATTAAAATAATAATATAAATATTTTAAAATTTTATCCATTTAAATTTCTAATATGGAAAGTATCATAGCTATAATTTTCATAAAGAAAAGCTTTTGGTGGGGGGTTGGGGGGGCCTTCAATAATTTTTCAGAGTGAAGAGGGGTCCTGAGCAAAAAGCCTGAGAATGGCTGCTGAGCTGTACAATGCCCCTCCAAGCCCGGCCCCCTCTCCAGTGCAACGTGAGGTATCTCTGTAAATGTGAACCATGGTTCAGAAGCCTGCCCGTTTACACTCCCACGCACGAACCTGCGCGTACACATGTGCACACACACCCCACACCGGTAATGGCAGTCAGCCTTCAGACCTTATAAAATGCTTTGTTGTGTACATCTCCTTGTGTAATCTTTTGTCCTACAGCCTTCCCCATGGGTGACTCTGCACACTTTATCCTTCCTGGCTTCTGGTCTCCCACAACCTAACACAACAATCATCTTTGCTGGACTGATGGGCTAGCGATGACCTCAGCCCTACTTGTAGCTTGGGCTGTCTTTGGGCAAGTCCTTTAGCCTCAGTTTCTACATTTGCATAACAAGTCTGCATTAGGGCTTCTTAACCTGGAGTCCACAAATCTGTAACGGGTCGATGGTCAGAGTCCAGTGAACTTCGATGTGAAAAAAGGATGTCTTTATTCTCACTAACCTCTAAATGAAGTGTATTATTTCCTTCAATTATGATTTAAAAAAAAACTCTGATTCTAAGAAGGGGGCCATAGGCATCACCAGCCTGCCAAAGGACTCCATTGTACAAGCGAGATTAAGAATCTGCGACCAGTGATCTTGAGGACCCCTTTACCTGAAAATTCTGTCATTGCTGTTGCCAGGGTTTTTTAGGAGGGAGTGGGAGGGAGGATGCCGGATACATGATTGAGTTGGCTTAAGGGAACTCCCAGTGTGCAAATCACCTTCACTGATCCAGGTGATCACTATCTGTGATTTTTAGTCTTAGAGAATCACCCCTTTCCCTGAGAGAAGTACAGCGCTTTGTGCACCGCCACAGAGGTAGTGTGCATCAGAGGTAGGATTTGAATCCCTCCGCCACATCCTGACTCCAAGGCTAGTCCTCTATCCAAAAGGCTAATCCTATGACAACTGTTTCTTTTTTGTCCTTACATTCTACAGGGTCTGGCAGAGACATGCCCAGGGATTCACAGCAATCACCGCAGGATACCCAAACTCCTCTCCCCACAAGAGGATTCAATTCTGTTCAATATACACCAGCCAAGAAAATTCCGTCCTGCTCTCAAGCAGCTTATGTTCTACTGGGGGGAAGAGGGAGCCGACAGAGAAAGATCCAGTAGGTTCACAGATGAGTCCCCACAACATAGACATGGAACAGTGCCAGCTCATTTCCAGAGTCTCTCCCCAGGAGATGTGGATTGGCTCACAAAGGGCTGGCACTTGAGCTGGTCTTTGAAGGAAGCTGAGCTTTCTCTGAGACAGAATGGAGGCAGCTTCACCCTTGCCTTACCTGCCTGGTCGGGCATTGGAAGCTCGTTAGCACTGTGGGGCTGGCACACTTCAGAATGTTAAAATAAAACAAATTATTCTTCTTCCTATAGAGAAAGATAACGACAGAAAAAGAATTAAGATTAGGGAATGTGGAAACACCCGCCATTTTGGTCCCAGGCATCCTTGTCTGTAAGACACCCCCCCCTTCCATTCGCCTTCAGGGAAACAAGCCTTTATTGAGGGTCTCTTCTGTGCTAAAAGCTGCTGACTCCATGAACATCCGTCTTTATCATCGGAGCCTAGAGAGAGCTGGAAGGAACCTTGAATCCAAACTCATTTTACAAAGGAGGAAACTGAGGCACAGAGAAGGTCTCATGAAGCTTTTACAATAATTCTTAGGCAACCATCAATCCTAAGTAACAGGTGAAGTAACAGGGTCCCTGGAGGCCACATCCTCTTTGGTATTCAGTGGACAATTAATAATAATAATAATAATAATGAGGAGGAGGAAGAGGAGGGGTTTAGTTTTGGGGCAGTCTGCTCCAAAGTCTAGTGAGTTTCCATAGCTTTCCAGTCTCTTGGCAAGAGACCAGAAGAGGTGATAGTGAATGACCGAGTGTTGTGGATTCAATTGTAAAGTTCCTTAAGGTCCCCAAGGCTCATGGGAACCAGTTTCTCTGGCACTGAGGGGATGGCTCAGCTCATAGCTAAGCCCTGTACTAGAAGGGGTAAATGAGGATCACAAGTGTAAGTGACTGGTTTGGAGAACGGGGACAGGGAAGAGGCAGGTGATCATTCCGGGTTGTTCATTCAACCCAGAGATCTCTGAAAAATGGGGGTGAGAAAATCAAATTAAAACTGATCACTGAGTCCTTGGGCTTGCTTGTGTACACCCAGTCAAAGTGACATGTGAGGGGGCAGCTACGTGGCCCAGTGGATAGAGTACCGGCCCTGGAGTCAGGAGGACCTGAGTTCAAATCCAGCCTCAGCCACTTAATAACTGTGTGACCCTGGGCAAGTCACCTAACCCCAATTGCCTCACTTTAAAAAAAAAAAGTGACATGTGAAAATGCCATCACCCTGTAGAGTCGTCTCCAGTACGTGGAGAGGGAAGAGATGGCTTTGTTTATGGCAAAGATGCCAAGCAATACCCCCAACTGCATCCAACAAGCAAATGAAAAAGCGTATGTGCCTGTGTGTGCACCAGTATGTGTGAATGTGAATGTGTACGAGGATATGTATGAGTGTGTGAATGTGTGCCTATGTGTGCACTAGTATGTGTGAGTGTGTGTCTGTGTGTGCACCAGTATGTGTGTGAGTGTTGTGTGTGCCTGTGTGTGCACCAGTGTGTGTGTGTGTGTACCTGTGTGTGCACCAATATGTGTAAGTATGTGTGAGTGTGAGTGTGTGTGAGTGTGTATGAGGATGTGTGTGTGTGAGCTTCCTCCTCTCCCCGTGCCCCAACACCTTGGACAGATAGGATATCTCCTCTGTGCCCACGTCCACTAAGGATGCAGAACAAGGCACGATGCCCAAAGTTCTCTTGAGCACAGCCTTTAGGAGCCGAGGTTCTTGTGGTGGCCAGAAGGTGGTGCTGATATCAATCAAGTGCTTGCTGGTTGAGAACCCGGCCACCCACCAGAATTGAGGCATTCCAGGAGTGGGCTCTGCCAGGGGCAGCGGTGGTGGCATCTGCTGCTGTGCTTGGCGGGACCTCAGGAAGCTCAGGGGCCCTCTCCCAGCTCCCCAAGGCGTCAGGACGCCCACCCCCACACCTCGGGCCCTTCTTTTGTCTGTGTTTGGTGCCTTCTCCCCATCGCCTGGCACAGAGCCTGGCACGGAGCCTGGCATTCTTTTCTGGACCAGACCTGCGGGCTCTCTGACATAGGCACTCCCAGTTAGAAACTGCCCTCCTGAGCTCGGCACATCAGGCCCTGCTCTGCAGCTTCATCTTAGAGGTGTTTAGGGCAGCCGGGGGAGGTCGGAAGTGACTTGTCTTGGGTACATCACCAACACGGTTCAGAGGGACGCCGGCTCTGCGGCCAGCTCTCTCCCCACCAGGCCAGGCTGCAGCTGAGGAGTGGGGGATACTGGCTCACCAAGTGAGCCTGGCCCTACCCTCACAGGAGTACGGCAGCATGGGAAGCCAGGCTTTCCTCGACATCCCCGAGGTCACAACAGCAAGCAGTACACAGAGCCGAGATGGGGTCCGACGCTCAAGCCAGGGCTCCCCTACCCAGGCAGGGCCCTTCTCCAGCTCCAACACTCCCTAACTTAACTGCTCATCCCAAGAAAGATAAACCCGCCCAGTGAAGACTCCTTTAAACATTTCGTTCCCTTGACCCAAAGGGATGTAAAAAAGGCAAATGAGTCCCAAGAGGATCCGATGTTTGTAAAACTGCAAAAATCTGAAAGGGGAAAACTGACTAAACCTCTTGGAGATCGTTGGATGCCTCCCGTGGACACTCCAGTGGTTTATGTTCTCAGGGTCCTCCCATCTCCTCTGTAGGTTGTGTCTGTCCCTGGTTATTATCACGTCATCTCCCCCACTTGACTGTCAGCTCCTTGAGGGCAAGGACAGTTTTTATTTCTGCCTGGAACAGTGGATAGAGAGCCAGTCTCCAACCCAGGAGAACCACAGCTAAAGGCCGTGTTTGCCACATCCTGGCAGTGAGACCCTGGTACATCATTTCATCTCTCCTGCTCTAGGCGGCCCTCAAAACCTTCACTAGAGAGCAGACACCAGCCAGCCCGCACTATAGAGAGTGGGTGAGGCTTACGGCTCCCGTCCCAATGGCATCCCACACCCAGTCCCCTGCTCCCATCCTTCTCAGTATCCTGTGGTCCTAGCACGTGGGCAGGACTTAAGAAATGCTTGTTGACTTACAGATTTCCCAGGTGTGGAATTCCCTTTCTCCCCAGATAAAGATCACTAACCTTCTGCACCTTGTCAGCTTGTATCATTCTTACCCATGCTTTCTCCATAAATAAGGATCCCCCAGAGGCCTATGCATCGTACACTGGTACTGTGAATACCTCTGCCACGCCAGAACAACCCTCCAGCTGCCCCGGCACCATCTTTCAATTTTGCACCAAGACCGGCCCATCTCCCCCGTTAGGTTCTCATGTCTCTTTGCCATCACTTCCTGTGCACAAAGGATCCCTGGTAATATTCTGCAGCAGCCTCTTAACACTCACCATGCATCTTTCCATTGCTTGGGAAACTGAAAGCAATCCTCAGTTTCCAAGATCTGCTCCAGCCCCATCCCCGAATCACAGAGTCGTGCAGACCATCTGGTCTAACGTCCACCCGAACAGCAATCCTCCTGGCAGGAAGTGGCCGTCCGGCCCTCACCTGAAGACCACAAGGGAAGGAGGACCTTGCTAGAGCCTGAGCAGGCTCACTCCACTTTGAAAGCACCCAAGTTGTGGGAAGATTACTGTCTCACGTGGCGTCAAAATCAAGCCTCCAGAAACCTATGCTCATTGTTCCTTATTCTACTCACTGGGGCCGAGCACAAGAATTCCAAGCAAAGCATCTCTAGCTCCTTCGACCAGTATCCACATGGCAGTGTATCTGATTGCCTCATTATCGTGGTCATTCTCCTGGACACACACTCTAAATGTAACTCCCAGGGCCGCAAACACTATTCCAAGTGTTGTCTGGCCAGCACATCGCATGGATCCGGGCTTTGCTCACCAAGGGATGGGGCAGGATGGGGACCCGTGCTTATCACCCCCTGGAGGAGCAGCTGAAATGGCAGGCCTGGCCTCAAATACCAGGACTGGGGGAACACCCCAACACCTCTCCTACCTACCTCCAGCCACCCCAAGAAGCCCTTTCCCCTCCTCTCTCCCTCTCTCTGCAATCTCTCCTCCTAGCCTCATTCCATATTTCTTGCTTCCTACACTCTGGTCTTCTCTCTGTTCCTCACACCCTATACTCTATCTCCCACCTCCATACCTTTGCTCTGGCCATCCCCCACACCTTGAGTACATTCCTTCCTCACCTCTGTCTTCAAGACGCAGCTCCAACACCACCCTCTACAAGAGATCTCTCCCGATCCCTCTCTTTTCTAGTGTTTTCCCTCCCAAATTGTACATAAACACATGATCATCCTTTGCATTTATCCTCCTGGTATTTCTCTATCCTACAGTTATACATATACATGTGTGTATGTATATTTGTACAGTACATATGCACACATACACATATAAAACACACATACACACACTTGTCGTCTCCCTCCATATTAAGATGTAAACTCCTTGCCGGGTTGTACTTGTATTCCCAGAACCGAACCTGGTGCCCAGGACAGAGTGGATGCTCAGTAAATAATCGTTGACTGATTGAATCAACATGATGGAATATCCAGCTTCCCCTTTTTTGGATACTCCTCCCTTCTGAATGAGGCCAAAGATGGCAGCATGGCAGACGGAGCACTGGACATAGGTGCTAGGAGGGTCTGGGTTCAGATCCTGCCCTGATGCGATTTAAGGCATTAAACCCCTTTGCATATCGAGAATTTCGGCAATCAGAGCACTCACCATCCAGCGTGTTGTGAGCACGATTTATAGACCACTAAGCACTTACAGAAATGTCCGCCATTATTCTGTATTATTATTGTTGTTCAGAGACTTCAGAGTGATATCGCACAGACACAGGACTCCAAAATGGTTTTACTTCTAAGTCCATGTGACTTTTCAAACACACGCTGAGTGCCTCATGATGCTGAGCTCTGCTCATCTCAGACCATGCCATCGGAGGCGAGGTCCAGGCTCACCCAAATGTGTTCTTAACCCAATCCATGTGGGACCCAGCAGTGCAGCGAATGCAGAACTGAGTTCAATTCAGATGGAATCTGCTTTCTTCAGTGAACTGAATTCCATGAAATATTTTGGTTCTGGCGCACCGAAGTGCACACCTGCCCTCAAGCAGTGGACTTTCCAGCACACAAAGGCGTACACGTTATAATAAGCTACAGATGCATCATGGACCTGTCCCAATTCTTTGCTATGGTACAATCTGTTGTATCCAAGTTTGTTGGAAAGAAGTGGGTCACCGGCTGGGTTTGGAGCCCTTTTTGTCATAGAGATTTTATTTTTCAATGAAACCTTTTAAATTATTTTAAAATAACTTTGAGGAACCAGGGACACGAACAAAGAAATTTTGTAGCACGTAGAGCTTTCTTTGTCCGATTGGCCAGCAAGCGTCGTCTTTTAGCCAGGTCTATGCCTTCCCGAGTCACTGAGGTTAAGAGCTAAGGACTGCTGTCCGGGGTCAAAACGCAGGCCACTATTGAATTTCTGAACATCCCTCCCAGGGGCCTTCTACAGTAGCATGGCTGTCTTCCATGACCTCCAGCTCCAGTGGGTAGGAATGTGCCTCCAAAGAGTCCTGGGCTCCCCTGGGTGATCCATTAAGAACAGAGTCCAGGAATGTATCAAAACCTTCCTTGAACTTAGTTATATTTTAACCAGCGCTACCTCGGGAGGTAGAGAATTCTGTTGATAAAAGGAGTTCCTTTTTTCTTTTAAAAGTGAGTGCTTTGAAGGCCCCCCACCATTTTGTACTAATTTCCACAGAAGGAGAATTGGTCACAAGGGCTCCAGAGATGCACGTGCCGGTCACAGACATACACATGGGAAAGAAGAGGTGCCCAATGGGGAGTGGGCGGGCACTTTGCACAGCAGGGGTGCACTTCCCTTCTATTTTGAAGCTAAAGGAAAGGAAAAGATAAATGTATTTTCAATAACTGAAATTGCGGTTGTCCTTAAGCAGAGAGAAGGAATTGTTGGAGGGTCACCTTAAAGTTTTGTTTTCATTTTTGTCATTGTAGTTATTCAAGGCTTTGGCAGAAATGGCAAAATTGATTGGTGAACTCCAAGGCCACCACACATGGTGCGGGCTGTGAAAGACATCCAGGAGTAGGGATTGTGCTTGTGATTTCCCTGGCTTAGGAACCCAGCAATGATGAGGGAGGAGACTTACTCTCCCCAGGAAGGTTGGTACTTTCTTTGTAACCTGGAGTCAGACAAAGTTGCCTGGGGCCCTGAGAGATTAAGAACTTACCCAGGGTCTTATTCAGCCTGGATACCGGCGTGTTATTTGAACTCAGGTTTTACAGGCTAATTCCAGCTCTCGATCCATAATGCTGTGCTACAGAGGGGCCAGGCCCTCTCATTTCTATTTTAAATTTGAATTCTGATGCTATGGTTGGGACAACCCAGCGTTGATAATTTCATTTTTATGAAGCTTTGTCTTTACAGAATCCAAAAAAGGTTGTGAGGAAATGACAACCTCATGGAAAGCTGTCCAGAGTATATTAAGGAGTCATGGAACTGGGTTCAAATCTTACCTCTTACATTATCAGTATTTGGCATCCCTTAATCTCCACGGGCCTCAGTCTTTTCCTCTATAAAATGATTATTGAACCAGATGGCATTTGACATCCTTTCAAACTCTAGTCTATGTTCCTATCACCCTGTGGCTTTAATTCATGCCATGTAAAACCTCGTGACTGATAAGAAGGTGGCATGGGGAATGGGGGGAGCAGGGAAGAGAAGGGATGGAAGAAGAGAGAAAGGGAGGCAGACAGCACTAGTGCAGCTCCCATCCCACCTCTGACCCTCTGTGCTGGGGTGGCAGCCTTCGGGTCTCTGAGCCTCAGTTTCCTCCTCTGCAAAATGGACGGGTAGGCCTAGGGCCTGGGGTCTCATCCAGCTTCAGATCCAGGGCCCTGTGAGTGGGGGTGGGCTTGGCAGTGCCGGGGGACGCCGCCACCCGCACTGGGCAGACACATGGACCATACTTACTCATTGCGGGTGTTCTTCTGGCCACAAAAATCCCCGTTGCTGTCCGTGGTGTATGCCAGTTTCTTGGCGTCCCCATGGGCCCAGGCTGCAGAAGCAAAGAGGAGAATGAGATCAGTGACAGTCAACCTGAGGCAATTCAAATGCTCCCCCGTAATGAACGCGCTGCCCCAGGGAGCCAGGGTTATTGATTTCGCATACATGGTCATTTCTTAATGAAAAGCACGATGAAACACGACGGAATCCATCAGGAAAGATGTTCCTCTCCATCCCCCCCGGACTCAGCTGGGCTGGGGCCAAAACATGAGGTAATGCACTTAGGAGATGACATTTATGGAAATGAGGAGAGGATGGGGACAAGAGCTTCCCTGGCTGAGAGCCACGGCCCGATGGCACGTGCCCAAGTGACTTCACGGCAGGGCTGACAGATGCGCAGTGAACAGTATGATGTAACTGTTTGTGGTCCTGCCTCGAGTCATTGTTAGGAATGGGGGTGACGTGCCCACCTGCCGGCTCATTGTGAAGAGACACCACGCGACCCGCTCTAAGGGGGCTACTCCCCCGCGTAGGTGAGGTCAGTTCTGGAGCGAGGAGGGACCGCCCACCTCCACGGTCAACAAGACCTGCAGAGGGGGATCCTGAAGCCCAATGACTCACCCAAGGTCACCAGGCTGTAAGGGACCAAGGCAGGAGCTGACCCACTTCAGAGCCAACATGCCCTTTGCTGTTTCACTGGCCTCCAGGTTATGGGCGCTCCCTCCGTGGACGCAGGAGGCGGCCCTTCCACCCTTCAACAGATGGTGTTGTGAGAGGCTGGGTCCCCAAACTCAGCCCCATACCCGGCAGTCAGCCCGGGGATGTTCTCAGTCCATGACTGAGGCCATGCTGCCTCTGAGGAGAACTGTTACGGTCTTTAAAATGAAGCTGCTGGAATGAATCATTTCTGAAAGGTGCCCTGCAGCGTTACCTCCCCAGGATTCTATTTCATCTTTTTTTTTCTGGAACTGTAAAATAGTTACTTTGGTGGAGGCATCATTATTCCTATTTTAATATTAATATCATTCCCACTTGGAAACTGAAGAGTTTGGGCCCAAATACAGCTGATAAGCACCAGAGCCGGAAAGCAAGTTGGGTATTAGGAGCAGCTTGCAGTGATGGGCAGGGATGAGAAGGTGTGAGTTCAAATCTGCCTCGGACACTTACTAGATAGCTGAAGGACCTTGAGAAAGTCATTTCCGTGCTTGAGTCTCAGTTTGCTTTTCTGGGAAATGGAGAGGTTGACCTCTAAGGTCCCTTCTAGAATTGATGACCTAGGAGTTCAGGTTCATTGCATCATTGGGTAATCTCAAAGTACGCCACAAACATTGTTTTCAATTTATCACTCCACAAAGACTAAGTGAACCATTGGCCCCTGACCTTGGAATCAGTCTGCCAGGGGACTTAGGGCCAGGGCGCCAGTACTCAGATGTGGTAGCACAGACAATGAAATGATCCACTGGCCTTGGGGGCAGGACCAGTGAGTGAGTGAACTGAAATAAAATTCACATGCTGGAATTCATCATTGGAACTTCCTCTGTTAGTCCTGACTTCTAGGAAGGAAATGCACTGAAACTTTTGGGGGGCTTGGGGGGGTAAGGTGGGGTGGTTTCATCAGTGTAGTGAACTCCCAGAATGAAAACTCATTTCCCCAGTGCAGGTCAGCACCTCCTCTGTGACTTAGCCTCTAGGGCACTGACAAGGTACAGGACTTGCCAGGAGCAGGCATTTCAGAGCCAGGGATTGAACCCAAGCCCTCGAGCCATCGTCACACCCCGGTACCTCTCACTGAAGCATTGATGCCCCGCCTCAGCCTGACACAGGCCCTGGTTTCTGGTCTTTACGGGGATAAGCTTCTTCTCCAACAGGGACTGGATTCAAGTTTACTGCATGATTCAGTCCACTTTACGGCCACTTTCTTACATCTCACTTTGATAAAAAAGAAAAAAAATCAATTCTCCCCAAATTTAGCTGAGAATTCTCACGCTGAAATGCATTCTTCTCCCAGCTTCCACTCAGTTCCATTAAGCTAGTCTTTTCCTTCAAGGATCCAGGCACCTTGAGGGCACACCCCCCACCCTGGTCTAACTCCTTCTCCGAAGCTGCAGAGGCCGGACCTCTCTCCTTGCCCTCTCCTCCCCTTTCATCACTCGCTGCTTACCCTGCACCCGAGACCTTTCCGGACGGGCCGCTCCCCAACCCCAAAAAACATGGCGCTCCTGGCCTCTAGAGCTGAGGTCACAATATGGAGAAAATGAACAAATAAAATAGCACGTGCTCTTAAGAGCATCAAGTCAATGACCAGAGAGATTTTAGAGTCAAAAGGGGGCTGTTTTATAGATGAGAAACTGAGGTACAGAGATGGAAATGGCTTCCCCAAAGTCAAGGAGATCATAAAATACTGTCCTCACTACAGGCCCGTGAAACAGGCATACAAGTAAGATTCTCCCCATTTTACAGATGGTTCAACTGAGGCTCTGTGAGGTTACTGTAAGTGAATGCCCCAATGTCAGAGGATTTAGAGCATCTATACATCTACATAAGAGGAAACAGGTCCAGAGCTATTGACTTGCCCAAGGTGACTTGAGGTGGCCAGGGCCAGGATTTTAGCCTGGGTGTTCTGACCACAGACGCAGTCCTCCTTCCCAGTTTTCTGGGTTTTCTCCAGCCTAACTCACTGTTCAGTCAAGCCATCTCTTTGTACACGGCATATAAGCAATCCCCAAGTCTTAGCTTAAAACTGAGCTAGACTTTTGAGGCACCCTGAATGCTCAGTTCAAACGTCAGCTCCTCTCAACATAAGGCCCTTCCTGAGCTTAGGTGCCCTAGAAACAAAAACATTAAGCTTTTCAAGAAGAATTCTACTCCCATGGAGGCAGATCCAGAGATTTACCAAGAAGTCCCCGCTCTGCAGAGCATGGCCTCCTAACTTGAGGAGGAAAGCACCGCAGTCCTCCCCGGCCCACCTGCCCCAGCTCCTGCTTTCATAGCAGAGAACGAGTATGTGGCGGCGTAAACTGGGGTCCTTCAGACCACGAGGAGCATGGCGCGCTCCTGGCCAGGGTATTTCAGTGTGTTTGGCTGCAGATCAAAGCCAAGTCTTCCTAAATAACACTCCCAGGATGGAGGCTGGCTCACCAGATCCGTGCACGCCCCTGAAGCAGACTCCCATTCCAGGGTGGAGGCCCTAGCGGGTCACTGAAAAAGGACTCACTTGCTCAGCCCTCAGCTTTGATGGCCTCCCATCCAAGTCAGAAAAGACGCCCCGCTGAGCACCAATCAGCAAAAGAAGAATGAGGGCGCCTTCCCATCCTCGCAAAATCACTGGCAGAACTCCAACCTAGGGTCCGTACGGCACACAGCGCTAGGAAGCCAAGGGGCAAATGACCCGCAGGAACTCAAAAGGAATGAAAGCAGTCACCTTGCGTCCCACCATCCGCTGGCGTGGCGCCCAGCTCTCTGCATTCAGAGTTTTCCAATCTGTTTTGGATCATGGAGAGAGAGAGACTGGAAGCCATCTTGCCCAGGGCATTTGGACTCCCCTGAGGCCTCCACAGAGGGACCCCCCAGAATAGCGGAGGCCGTCCTCTACCAGTGCTGACAGACAATTAGATAGACCAGGTGACGCCTGATAGCAATCCAGCCCATTCTCTTCTACCCAGGGCCCAATCCCAGGGCCCCTTTGTTGTCCCAGATACACCTACTGAAGGGTCAGATCCACAGGTTAGCCATCTAGCTGAAATATTTTAGTCTAGACAGTGGATGGTCTTCATGTTTTGTGTGAATAGACAGACCAAACCCTTTTGAGGGACGATATATATCATTTAGCAGCTCCCTGGATAAAGCCTGAACTTGGGATCAGAAAGGCCTGAGTTCAAATTTGACCTTCAAATATATACTTGTTTACTACATGACCCAAGGTAAGTCACTTAACTCCTGTATGCCTTAATTTCCCCACGTGTAAAATGGATATAATAATGGCACCTATCTCCCCAAGTTGTTGTAACGACAAATGAGATGACACTTATAAAGGACTTTGCAAACTTTAATAATTATATACATGCTAGTTGTTATTTCTGCATTTGTTTCGCTCAGAGAATAGAGTTCTGGGCCTAGACTCAGGAAGGCCTGAGTACAAAATCTGGCTCTGACTCTTACTAGCCACGTGACCCTGGGCAAGGTACTTATCCCTGTTTGCCTCAGTTTCCTCCTCTGTAAATCTGGGACAATAGCATCTACCTCCGAATGAGATAATCTACATAAAGTGCTTTATAAACCTTAAAGCACAAGAGAAATGTGAGTTATATTATGATTATCATTGTTGTTATGGCTTTGCAATTTCTCTGAAACTCACATACTGTCATCTCCAAACTGAAACACCCACAAGATCTCACCCTCTATAAGGATCTTCTCTCTCATTTGGACCACTCTGCATAGCCAACTTTCCCTTAGGAAGAAGTCTTGAAGGCCTCCCCTCCTTCTGGGGTTCTGCCCTGCTTAACCCCACTCCCACACTCCAACAAGAAGTACAGCTTGGGTCCATGAATCCCCTGAAATCGTCTCATGTACTGGAAAGGGCACTATTCAAAGGAATCGTTGGGTAAAATGTGGTAACTGGCTCCAGATCCCTGGAAACGTGCAGTGAGAATTCGAATGATGCCAGAGAATTCCTTGGTCCTGCCAACTGGGCCTTGACTGAATCTTTGCAACACTCCCTTTTCATGCAGGCTTTCAGTGTGACTGCTTCATTTGTCACAGATGCTTCTACAATAGAGCCCCATTCCCAGCCAGGCTCTGATACAACGCCTACCAGACTCCACCACCACCCCATGCCCAGCACTCGCTTCACTGCTTTCCAAGCTGGACGTGCTGGTCCAGGGAATGGCACTCCTTCGAGGCTACGCCTCCCTCCCTATTTCTTCCCTCACCCCCCAGGATGAGCAAGGAAGAAGGAGGAAGCAGAGGGCCTCCCTCTCTTACCATCCTCTCAGCATTTAGAAAAGTGCTAAAGGCGGCTGAGACAGAGACAAGCTGCTGTCTCATCCCCCAGCT